ACGCCTTTCGAGGCTTTTCTCCTAGACCAGATACCATCCGAAGCTGAGGCCATTGTATGCCCGATTGTAACATTAGGTTCTCATTGTTTTTTTCTTTCCCTGATAATGCTAGTATATTTATTCCCCAGTGCTTTCCCCTTGACCGACATATGCTATTTATAACGGCTTGATTTATTGGCAGGACTATATCTTTGTAATGGCTGGATTTAATGGCTGAACTATATGTTTATAAAGGTTTAATTTTTTGGCATGACTATATGTTTATACTGGCGGTTGACCTGCAGGACTTCGAGAAAAACCCTGAAGCAATCCGAAAGACTGACCAGAGACTAGACATAGTTCTGCACTCTGGGGCAGAACGCCAGTTCATCTTGATAGACCAGATGTCCGAGGCCTGAAGTCATAAACCAGGTCAGCCCACCCTCCGAAATTGTCTAGGACGATACTGGGCTGAAACGATTCTCGACGAGGGACCCTTTTACTGATGATCGGTTAACTCCTGGTGTGCTTGATCCCGCTGTGGAGTTCTTCTTCTGATTTTACAAGGCTGGTTTTATTGGTAGAGGTCCGTGGAGAGGTCCCGGAAACCCCGTTCAGCCACTAGGTCATATTTAAGGCCCGGCTATATTTAAGCCCCCCGACAAAAGCCATGGTGGGGCATGAAAATAACTAAAAATTGCATCCCACATTGGGACGACGCTAGCTACTGATATTTAAATCTTTATGAGCTTGATTTATTGGCAGGATTATACATTTATAACGGCTGGATTTATTGGAAGGACTATATGGACCTCGATAAGCGCCGTGGTTCATCATCTCATACAATTCACAGGTTTGTGTGCCTCCCCATGCCAAAAGGCCAGACTATTCCGGAATTTATATTCTTTCCCCTAATTAAGCTTTTTTTCATGTAAAATTGGCCTGCCATCACTAACTTTTTAGAAGTTTTTTTTTTTTTAATGACAAAAAAACTATTTTTTTCCTACATGTTTTCAGTTCTTTCAATAATTTAAGATGTTCATCTTCGTCTCCTTCACTCAACTGATGACATAATTACGTTGTGTCCGTTTGTAGGATGACTGCAATATTTAGACCTTTCCGCGGATACTTCTGACTTCTTCATGTCTTTGTAGAGCGGTTTAGTCTTCATTGGAGGTTTTCATCACTTTTTTGCGGTCAATAATATTCTCTGAGTTGTTCTCAAAAACTAAATTTCCACCTCCCTTAGAATGATTTTCATCTTGTTTACTTATTGCTCATGTTTCACATATTTACAAACGTACGAGCTTCTGTATAGCACGTCGACACTCTTATAGTTTAGTCATATTTATCATTTCAGACTTCTCTGTGAATTCGACCAGCGGGGAGATAACTGTAGCGAAGACACTAGACTTGGATGATAAGCAGTTACATACCCCTGATGTTGTGAATTTTACAGTAAATGTCACAGACAGCTGGTCTGTCGTCTCAACAGTTGTGACAGTTTTCATCATGAATGTCAATGAATTTCCACCGAAATTTGTGTCCCAGCGACCAATGTCTGTTTTTGAAAACGAGACAGAAGGAACAGTTGTTGTCCAGGTCTGTATACAAATGAATAGTAATGATATTTTTATACCTGTCAATTCCTGTATTTGGATATTGTAACAATTTTAAAAATACTGTTCATGCTGAGGTTAGTCGAGGTTCCGACATCAATGCAGAAGCTGAATCATTATGTTCCGTTCCTATGCCAGTGGAAATCAGACAAAATGTCCTTCGCTGTCTCATTTATGATTTGAAAACAAGTAAAATACTTGTCAGTCACAGCAACATCGTGAAGTTTGCACACGCAAAGTAAAAATGCATAATGTGGCTGTTGGAAGTACCAACATTTACGGTCGCATGCAAGAATTGCAGCTAATTGTTGATGCAAACAATCAGTCACGAAAGTACCTGTAAATAACACTCCATTCTGGACGTAATCGGGCATCCGCATGTTAGTACAGTCAGCAACACGACGCGGGCACAGCATGGAATAAAAAGAACATTTCACAGCTCAGAGTATCGCACCAAGAACGCACTTCAGTTGCTGGATGACTTTGATACTCACATAGTCGAAAAGAACGCTTGCATACAAGGAGCGGTTAAGGATCAATTCCCAAAATTAAAAGTAAAATTTTCAACTACTATACCTTTAGGCGTATGAGCATATGGTGTTAGTGTTAGCACCATATTTGTGCAGATCCACTGGCATTAGTGGTAATTATCACACCGGCCGCCTTAACAACGCGGACAATTTTAATGCGTTCATATGGCTTCTCGGTGCTAATATTTTTGAGTCCTCATTGAAAGGGAATTTCTTTTTAATTGACATGGTATCTCAAGTAGATTCAATCAAAAACAAAGTAAAATGGGGGTAGTTTAGCATTGGCTCCATTAACCACAAAGTACTGACTGGTCTATGAAAGTTAAGGCTTTCCTTCGAATAACGGTCCCAAATTATCGAGGCGGAAAATATACCCTACCAGGGCCTCAGTCACGTGTCAATTGCGCACTTCTGTCATCTTAAATTGCGCACTTCCGGCGACTTCTGCCACCGCCGAGAGTATCTCCCACGCCGCTCACTCGGAGTGGATTGGGGCTAAACTAGATGGCTGGGACTCACGAGAAGCAGCTAACGCATCTCTTCCCTGGTAACTTCTCGCAACGCCATTCTCCTCAGACCGTATGTTATTAATATCATGTACAGAATCCAGTCAAAAACCTGTAACCTCTCTCATCAACGTTTGTTATAAAGTTTTTTTTTTGGACTTTCTCGCTTATTAAGTACCAGATTCTCTACTCACTTCTTCGAAGGATGTGCCCAGTATAGCATCATCATTATTGTCTTGCAACTGTTGGTACCTGTCTCTGCCTTTACAAATTTCTCTTACTTCTCTGCCTTTCTTGAATTTATATAAAAGCTACAGAAAATTATTATGGTCCAACTCTTTCAGTACCAGAAGATTTCACAGGAGATACCAACGAGAGGAAATTATTTTCAAAGTGGCAATACAAATAGTTGTAGTGACCAATGGGAAAGGCCAGATTTCTCTAGTATGTTCTGACCAAAAGGTGAAAGTAAGAAAGCGCATTATGCTATGGATGAAATCAGGGGTTAAATTCATACACATATCAGGCGTTGCATGGAACTAAACAAGTTAAGGCGAGGAAGAAAGAGGTAGGAAGTGACATACAAGAGAGGACAACATAAAGAGACGGATAACCGGCAGGTTCAGAGAGTCAGAGAAAAATAATACTGGTAATCGGTTGTAGTTAGCCGTGACTGTGGGAATGGCCCATGACTGATTGATGATAGTGGTGACAATAAATACTAATTATTCTAAATATATTAGATAATAATCCTATTCTTATTCCTATTCTTCGCATTCACTGGCTGTAAACTCTGTCAGAAAATTGTGGTTGTTCGTCCACCTCCGGACTTTAGTTTTATTCCATAACCTGAGTGTTGCGTGCACTTAATTTTACAGATCTGGATTATTTGTTTGCAGACTCTTTGTTCCTTGCCTCTCATGCAGATGTACTGCAAATTCGATAGATGCCCCAATTAATCGACTCCTACGACATGCTTGTTGGGAAGGTAGTGGGTCTGTTCTTGTTTTCAGCACAATGGAACCCAGGAACCCAAAAAGAGAAATCAATTCAAACTGCGAGAAACTGTCTTTGTTTGGTTGCACAAAACTGCGTCCTATACCGTTTTACGCAGTCGATAAGAGGCTCGCTTTCAAATCCAGCTGCGACTCGCTGCAGCCCAGGGCGGGTGTTCGAAAAATGGGGCGATTCCCGGGGTTCACCCAGCCTCTAGGGAATGGGTACCAGAGTGACACTCTGGGTGAATGGAGGAACGTCGCTGTAGCCACAGAGTTACATGCGGACGGCGACATAGGCGGACAATTTTTATCAGCTGTCCGTACTGGTGGCAGAGCACTTATGGTTTATAACGGTGTGCAATGACGCTGGTTCACATCTCCTGACTTTACCTTTATATTCACGTCTTTCATCTTTGACAGAATCAGCAATTGTATGACCTTTCAACCTATTATTAGAGTCCATGCCGTGGGCGTATCAATCGAGTCTGTTCACCGCTCTTTCTATTACTTATTTCAGATACACGTGTTCTTTCGTATGTGATGCCCAACTTATTCTTCCTTCTTCGCATTCACCAGCTGTAAACTCTGGCGGAATGTTCTGGTTGTTCGTCCACTTCTTAACTGCAGTACTGCTCTAGAACCTGAGTGTTGCGTGTGCATCAGATTTACAGTTCTGAATCACTTGAATGCAGACTGTTGGTTCCTTGCCCCTCAGGCAGATGCACTCCGACTTCAAAGGAAGCTCCCCAATTAGTGGACTCTTACGACATGCTTTTGGGTAGGCAGTGGGTCTATTCTTGTTTTCCCACAATGGGGCCCTGGAACCCACACGGGGGTGATGCCCGACTATCCAGGATCTTCTCGCTTGGTCTCTCTGTCTTCAATTCCAGCTTTCAGTTGCTACGACACACTCAAGTTGTCCTTATTCTCGTGACTCTTTTTCTTCTTCTTCTTCTTCTTCTTCTTCGCTTCTTCTTTTACCGCCTCGGGTGTCAGGGGCGATATAAGGTTCTGTATCTTGCGCATCTAGCCGCATTAACCATAGACTGGTTGGTTAGTTGCGTATCCTTTACAGGACGTTGCAGAACAAACCCCAAAAGCCCCTGGCTGTTATGTGGTTTTTCTAGGCAAATTTACGTCCAGTAGTTTGCCATTGCCAACTGGACGGTCGGTTTTCTTGATACCACTGTCGAAACAAACGCAGCTGGGATTGAACCCGGCATCCCGGCATTACGAAGCGTTCGCATCGATTTAGCCACAGAGCCGACAACCATAGATTAGACACGTCTTATTATTATAGTTTTTCGTAATCTTTACCTTTGTATATGCCTTTTTTCATTATGTATATAGTCCTCTTTTTTTTTCCAGGTGAATGCCACAGATGAAGATGAAGGCGCAGATGGAAACATAACCTTCTCTTTACTACCATCAGTAGGCAGTGATCTTTTCAGTATCGATCCCAGCACAGGAGAAATCAGTTTAAATTGCTCAAATTGCCTTGACCCCCGTAGAGGAACATATGACCTTATCATTCAAGCCAAAGACGGTGAGTCTTCTGTCAACTAATTACTGCTTTGTAGCGTTTGACTTCTCTGGGAGATTTTGAATTTAAATTCTTAGCAGTTTTAAAATGTAGATGATTGTGAGTTTAATATATTTTTTAGCTCCTTCAGTTCGTCGACAAGAATATTCGTTTTAATTATATACTCTGTAACCTCTTAAAAATATTTGATTTTAACTTGAATCTTTGAATATATCGAGGGAGTTGAGTTTTAACCCTTAATTCTTTAAATCCACAAATAGATTGTGGGAATTTAACATCTTAACTTTTGAAATCCTCAATAGAGTTTTAATTCTTTTGTCTCAGTAGTTTTCTCAAGAGATCGACAAGCTGAGCATTATCTGTTATGAGTTAACTAGAGTGCATGACTTGTAAAGAGAGATGCACAGCGGAAGTTACCAGATTTCTTGGAAATGGTCAGGCCCAGTGTGAAAAGTAAAGGAATACATAACGCTAATTTTTACTTTCAGCTTGAAGTATTGGGTCAAATGCATTGACGTTTAGACAACCCGTGGTGCGTTTTGGGGCCCTATTGTGCGTACAAAAAAATATATATGTATATCCATGGTCCTTTCAAAGGCGAATGCAGAAGGAAAAAAAGACATTCAAATCTTTAATGCCCTA